TTACTTTTCATTGAAATGAAGTCAAAATCACACCTACATTGTATAAACTACTAGTACTTTGATTTCTTTAACTATAAATAAACTTACTTTTTCATCTTTGCTGATTTTGAGTACATACTAATTGTAATTAATTTGTATTCTTTAATAGTTTGAAGTCAAAACTACAGACAGAATTCTATAAAACTGTTTTGTATTTCTGAAATATAAAGATACTGAGACTGAGAGCTAAGTTAAAATATTAAATTCCTGTTACAGAAATAGATGACGAGGTGCGAATGTTACTAATCGGTAAGACAGGCGTTGGAAAAAGTACCACTGGCAACACCATATTAGAATTTAATGCATTCAAGACTAAAGTCTCTGCAACATCAGTCACAACCAAAACAGAATACAATGAATCAGAGAGATTCGGTAAAAAACTGGTCGTTGTTGATACTCCTGGACTATTTGATACAAATCGAACAGCAATGGAAGTTCTCAGAGAAATATCTCAATGCTACTTTCTTACATCTCCTGGTATTCATGCTATAATATTAGTTGTTCAAGTTGGAAGATTTACTGAGGAAGAACAAAAGACCGTTGATTTATTCATGAAAGTTTTTGGAGAAGAAGCGAAAAAATTCATGATTGTAGTATTTACTGAGAAAGATAGATTAGAAAATGACGATATGACTATTGAGGACTTTGTCAGCACGATGAATAAAAGTTCAAACCTAAAAATTCTACTTCATGAAATACAAGGACGATATACTGCCATTGGATACAAAGGGCAACAGGAAGACCGTGAGAAAGAAGTACGACATATACTGTCAATGATCGAGAAAATGGGACAGGACAATGGTCGGTCATACTATAGCAACGACATTTTTCAACGAGTGGAAGAGATGATAAGAGAAGATGAAAGAAAAAAATAGAAAACTCAAAGAGCAAAGAAAAAACATACACAAAAGAAGAAGTGCAACGTCTGATGAATGAAGAAAGGTCCAGAACTCGTGCAAATGAACAAAGTGGAGGACTGTTTTCTCAGATATTAGGGACTATTGTTGGAACGATATTTAAAGCGATATTTAGTTTCTTCGGTTTTTGAACTTGTTTTTCTTTTTTGACATTATTATATTCTACAATCATCATAGATAGCAATGCCTTATCCTACCCAGACTTCAATGATATGCATACACAAGCCCTATGCTTGTATTTGTAACATTGCTGATGTATTTTTTAGAATTAATAAAAACATTTAATGTTTATTTTTTATTGTATGGCAGATTTTGGCCACAGTGGTCAGATAAATGTATTTCAACATCAACTTTGGGGCAGCCAGAAAACAGGGCTGAACCCCTACAACAACATTTAATGTGTCGTCCGAAACGGCAAGTAGCATGCTGGGTTCTACACAATCATGCTACCGACATTTTAACATTTAATTTAATATACGTACATATCTTTACTTTAAATTGTCGTAACAACAGTCAACATCATATTTCTCAACATCATATTTCTCAACCAACTTGAAGGTGACGATATGGCTATATGGGCACGTGATGAATGTGTGCATTTGCAAACGCACAATCACATCTCCCACCGCCACATGTCGGGGGTAGGAACCTTTAAGAAGTCCAATGTGCCTCTGCCAAAAGGAATACTCAATTCTATGGACTGAATAGGCGTATTTTATTATTCACCGGAAAATTCTTCGCTTTTACCCCATCGGGCCACCCGGAAAAATATCCCAAGGCTCCCTGAATGTTTGTGAGGAAAATTAAATTCCCTAACTCTGACAAGTGCGTTCTATCTGAGTGATACAATTCTACTGGTTTTCCTATAAAATTGGAATGCATGATAATCCCCCTCCTTCCATTTAAAATACCTGTTTTGCTTCCCACCTGTTTATAATTAGTCTATTCCTTGCCTGCTCCATTGCTCTAACATAACTTGAGTGTCTCAACAAAATACAGGGAAGGAGAAAAGACCCTTACTAGTAAGAGTAGTGTTGATGAAGATACTAGAGAGTAACTAAATTTCCTACTCAATGTCTCAGTATTTTGATTTTGAATTTTAGTTAATTCTCAGGTTTGCTTTGCAATTGGCGAGCATTACCCAATATACATGTATAACCAGAAGTACTGAAGCTCTACTGGTTTGTACTTATAAAAAAAGAAGAGAAAAGTGGCAGTTGGGACTTGAAACTTTACAACAGCAATAAATGGAATAATGATTCTTGATTAAGTCTATTTAAGTTGCAAGATTGCGATAAGACTACAATTGTGGGTGTAGTTTTTTAATAAAATTTTAAACCATGACAACATCGTTCATCATAATCAAAAAAGACAATTATGTATCTCAGTGTAGCCTACTTGCATGCCACATTTCATTATAATCAGACTAAAACTGTAGGAGGAGTAGCATTTTGAAAGTATATCACAGAAATTTCTATTCTTAGCAACCACGGCAACATAATAAATCGAAATTCAAATACCGGTACACAGAATTATATATCATAGTGAAATCTACACATTGGCTAAGTAATATTGTAGTCAAACTTAAACTGTAGGAGGAGTAGCTATCTTAGTGTAGTGTGGTGTCTCCATATGAGTGAAAAATTCTGGAGAGGGACGTTAAACAATATACAATCAATCAATCAATTTACTGTGTGCCAAGTTATATCTAAATCAAACCAAAACTGTACGAGGAGTAACATTTTGCATAAATATTACCAGACAGACGGACGGACGACGGAGATAGTACTATCGCATAAGCTCTTCTGGTCTCTGACTAGTCGAGCTCAAGATCGCTCACTAGTTGAATCTTTGTTATTTGAATTCTTATCATTATAGCAACAAATCAACACATTTTTCATTGTTTTCCTTTAACAAATCTTTGTCTGAATATCTTTTTTACATAATGACCAAATGTTAATTAAATTTAGCGATGCCCCGTCCTATGACAGAATATTATTTGTACCTCTTGATTGGCTGAAAAATTCGGTCCCCATTCCGTCGCCCGAAGGCGCCAATTTCCTATTTCCGTCGCAGATTCCTCTGAATCAAACCTGGGACTTGGCCTTCTTCGTCGACCTGTCTTTTATTCTCTCTCTCTCTCTCTCCGTCTTGACCTTATAAGCAGCATGCTTATAAATTTTATTAAAAAGTTAAGGTTGTTATTTCAAGAAAGCTATGGATACACAAACGAATAATGTCAGTACCGACAAATGCATAAGAACATGATACTTTTTGTCACAAGAGAATCTCCAAAAATTCAAATAATATAAGGCCATCGAAAGCGTTCCAGGTCCCCAAACGTACTTAAACGCACTAATTCAAAAGTTACACTTTGTCCTTAACTTAACCATTATTTTAAAAAAAATAGCTCAGAATTTCTAAACCGTCTGCTGGTTATCGGCATTGATAGAAAAAGGAAGTGTAGATATTGTAAGTTCAAAGTGAAACACGGAATGTTTCAAAAATTCCGGTCAAAATTTCCGGATTACGCAATTGACCGATACACAAAAAAAATCAACTAAATAAACCATTATTTTGATTTAACAATATACATAAATCACCATCAGTATTAGCTTCAAACAATATTATGACAACAAAAACGTTGATAACGACATATATTTACAGACACGCTGAAATATATGCAATTATATCCTTTTGTATCATAATTATTAATCATATCAGCTCTTTCTGATAACGTCGAAGCCTGTTGTGCATAAATTATCCAACGTTTCCAACCATCGTTGATGTCCCAGGCAAACCCAACAAACTAGACAGTGATTCATTTTATTTACATTGAAATGTGAATCAAAATTGTAAATACAAATTTAAAAAAATATATAAATAGATTTAAAATACACGAGGCCACTCTCTACCATCGGCTCATACATTCACCTTAGAGAGTACAAACGACATGAGCCCTCGCATGTTAATAAAGAAGAAGTTATGGTTTTAGCTTTATTGCGCCCTAAAAATGTAATGACATCAAAAAGTTTTGAAACTGGTTTAAATATTAGTTAAATAAATGACTCTGATAAATCAAGAAAGAATATGGAATGAAGGTTTACCATTCTGCAAATATGACGTCATGAATGTGAAGCATTTCTCTATTTTCAACAGAAAAAGCCTCAAAATGGCACATTTCAAGGGTGATTTTCCTTTAGAAAACGGTGTCCACAGCCGTCGCCCACGTTAATTTTTTGATATTTTGATTATAACAAATCACATATCTCAAGATCTTTGTGGGCGATGCCTGTGGACAATGTTATCTGACAGAAAATTCCATTGAAAATTGGTGTCTTCTGCAACTTTTTAAGAAAATACGGGAAAATACCCATGTTTATGACGTCATAATTAGCAATTAAAAACACATGTGAGAAAAATGATTTGTATGATTTTTCTGCATTGAATGTCAATTATTTAAAAAGCAAGAGTTTTCAACTTTTACACCAGTTTCATTTTTTAGAAAATCACAGGGCAAAATTTGTATGGAAACCATACCTTCTTCAAATTTCAATAGTCCCCTTACACTGACGTCAACACAAAGACAGCAGCACGAGATTGACAAGCATATTAGGCTCTTGGCCTTTTACCTGGCGTAATAAACATTCCGGGTGAATGATCAAGAAATTAACTCACCTAACTCTTAAGAGTTATCACAGAGAAAACAATCAAAAATGGAAATATTGTCATTTTATTGCATTTTTTAAAAACCCTCTCAAGAACTACTTGGCCAGAAAAAAGAATGAAATATGTGAAAGCTTCTTACGCTGTATATAGTGTACATTCAATTTTTTTTTTCAAAATTTAAACTCCGGGCATAGGGCTGTGCAGATACAGGGAATGAAAGTTGTACACAGAAATATATAGAAATTATCTTGAAAAATGTTAGAGCATGACCAGTAAAGCCAGGGTTGATCATGCTAATATTCAATCTTTTTCAGGTAGTGTAGATTCAAGTTAATTGTTCAAGGCATGACCCCGGGGTTGGGCGGGGACATAACAATGGCATCAAAGTCATACTTAGAAAATGAAGGAAAAATCTTTAAAAATCTCAAGTACAACACAACCATGATCATTAAAATTGGAAGCATCATCTGTATATTCAGGCCAGGTTTGTTTAGATAATGACTGTAGTGGGGAAAGGAGAGGCCACAATGGGTACTCAATTGTTTACATAAAGGATATGTAGGAAAAACCTTTCAAAATTTTCTCCACAAGAAAAATAAAGCAATGATAAGTTGTACATGTATTTATATGGAAGCATTTTCGGGTAATGTATATTCAAATTTGTTTAAATCATGACCCCCGGAAGTAAGGCGGGACACAATGGGATATCAAAATTTTACATAGGAATACATAGGAAAAATCTTTTAAAATCTCCACAAGAGCTGCACAACCATTATTGTAATATATTTTTATATATATATTAGTCTGATACAAGTAATATTCATATGGAAGCATCATCTGTTAGTGTAGATTCAAGTTTGTCTATTTTACGACCCCAATGGGGTTGGGCGGGTCCATTATACAAAATAACCTTTCACAACTCAAATGAAAACAGTAAAATCATTTAAAGCTATAACCTGTTAAATATGTATACGGAAGTATCTTCAGTTAGTTGTTATTAAGATTTGTTCCTTCAAAGCATGCATCATCCCCTTGCCCTGCTAAGTTAAGGGGGATCACTCATTAAAAGTAAACTGATTTTCACTTCTTTCTAGATAAAGTTCTCAGGTGAATGATGTGGACAATTGGCCCCTTGTTCCTCATAATATGAGGGGATTGCACGCAACAATTCCTATTCTTTCTTAAAATCCATTATTGTGTTTGACATCAAATGTAGACCCCTCGTGAAGTAAAATCATGATATGAAAATTAATACTTTACACCGCAACGAAGCAGTTAAATGCCTCTGATCTGACTTCTTACTATATCCCTACCGTAGGACCTTGAACTATCAGGTTAAAAATGTTTAGCGAAAGACGAGGCCTCTTTCTAGAAATATCCCTTTTTCCATCGAGTAAAAAGCGGTTCAATCCTATATTAAGGCGAACAATATAAAATTCCTTTTCACGTTATTTCAATCATTCTATGCAAATCATCTTGCTTCATACATTACAAATACAGAAGTTAATGATACTGTTATTTAACTTTTCTGATCGAAGATAACATCTGATCGAAGATATTAACATTAACTTCCAAAAGCCTTTCTTTTAATTGGACAATAATGGAGATATATATCAAAAAGAAGAATCTTTTTTTAATTTAGAAAGTGCCAAAGAAATTCCAATTTTACTTGTTGGAAAAACTGGTGTAGGAAAGAGTACTACCGGAAACACAATTCTTGGCACCAATACGTTTTTTACATCAACAGCTTCAACTTCGAAAACAGCAGAGACCCAATATGGTGTCTCAGAGAGATTTAATAAATGTTTGGTTATTATTGATACACCGGGACTCTTCGATACAGACACATTTGCTGAAATCGAAAAGATCACAGATATGATAGACTATAGTTCTCCAGCCATTCATGTTTTATTATTAGTTGTAAAAGTTGGGAGATACACTGATGAAGAACAAAAAAGTGTTCATCTTCTTTTGGACTACTTTGGTCAACAAGTTGAGCGGTGTATGATCGTGGTATTTACTGGTAAAGATAAATTGGATGATGAAAATATGACCATAGAGGAATACATTAATACTATGGATGACAACTCTAATATCAAAAAGTTCATCAATGATGTAGATAGAAGATTTATTGCTATCGGTTTCAATGGAAATATGACGGACCGTGATAAGGAAGTAAAAAGTATTTTGAAAATGATTGAACAGATTGGCGAAAACGATTTTCATACCTGCTATGGAAAAAGGGATTTTACAAATGTCGAAAAAATTACACAAACTTGATGTTTTTGAGATAAGTTGTTCAGTTTTCCTTCAAATATTTAGTGTAACATATTCATTGCTTTTTAGCTCACCTCGACGAAGTCAAGATGAGCTTATGCTATCCCCCCAGCGTCGGTGTCGGCGTCCCAGGTTAAAGTTTTAGGAACAAGTCCATTCCCAAGTAACTATAAGTCATACCTGAACTTAACTTGCATGGATGATGCATCTAGGGATGCACACTACCAGACTTGATTCGGATGCTGGATCTGACCTACATTTTCTAGATGAGTGACCAGGTTAAAGTTTTTGGAGCAGGTTTAAGTTTTTGGAGCAGGTCCATTCCCAAGGAACTATAAGCCCTACCCGGACCAAACTCGCATGGATGATGCGTCAAGGGATGTACACTACCAGACTTGCTTCGGATGCTGGATCTGACCTAAATTTTCCAGATGAGTGACCAGGTTAAAGTTTTTGGAGCAGGTCTATTCCCAAGGAACTCTAAGCCCTACCCGGACCAAACTTGCATGGATGATGCATCTAGGGAAGGACACTACAAGACTTGCTTCGGATGCTGGATCTGACCTAGATTTTCCAGATGAGTGACCAGGTTAAAGTTGTTGGAGCAGGTCCATTCCACAGGAGGAACTCTAAGCCCTATTTGGACCAAACTTGCATGGATGATGCATCTATGGATGGACACTACAAGAGTTGCTTTGGATGCTGGATCTGACCTACATTTTCATTCCCAAGTAACTTTAAGCCCTACCTGATCCAAACTTACATGGATGATGCATCTAGGGATAGACACTACCAGACTTGCCTCGGATGCTGGATCTGACCTGCATTTTCATTCCCAAGTAACTATAGAACCTACCCAAACTAAGCTTACATGGATGATGCATCTAATAATGGACATTACTAGACTTGCTTTGGATGCTTGATCTGACCTTTATTTTCATTCCCAAGTAACTATAAGCCCTACTTTGACGAAACTTGCAAGGATGATGCATCTAGGAATGGACACTATCAGACTTGCTTCGGATGCTTGATCTGACCTATATTTTCCATACAAGAGACAAGTTTTGGGAACAGATCAATCCCAATGAATTTGAAGTCCTAGATATCTGCAGTAATAACAAAGTTATGAATAATTGTTTACACTATAATACATGTTTTTCATGCTACATGTGTAGAAATGTGTATATGCCATGTAAGGGGTTAAACACAACTTGCAAAAATATTTTTGTTGGGATAAATACTTAATTTTAAGTAAAAATGATGTGAGATTTGCACTTACTTACACTGATAGCATTCGTCGAGGTGAGCTTCGTAATCTTCGATTACCTATGTTTGTATACTAGTATTGTATTGTGTTGTATTTTGAAAATGTTGTAGATAAGAATAAAAGTACAATGTAAAGAATTTAATGATCAGTTAATTGTCGACTGTACGCAAGGTGCGTAAAATTTAAATTCTTACTACTTGTAATTAAACTGTGTTTTCTGATTGGGATATTAATGGAATTTCTTATTTCTTCAAGGACATGAGTTGTACATTAAAATTCAGTGACGTAGCATCGTTTTTAAAGGGGGATGGGTGATGGCAGGCAGAAATTTTTTTCATTTACCTGAAAAATTTGACAAGCAAAAAAAAAAAGGAATATTGCTCAGACTAGAAAATCCTATTTCGTGGGGATGGGGTTAGAATGCCAACTTCTTTCAGTACCAATTTTTTGGCATATACATGTAATACTACATTTGCTGCTGTATCTCTTAAGTTATAAGTTGGGGGGGGGGGGGGGGGGGCAGCCTTTCAATGAACATTTCCAATAGTAATCATAGGAATGTAAGGAAAAAATGTTGGGGCTGTAATTGCAATTTTTAACTTAAGAATTTTGTTAACAAAATCCCAAACTGAGTCAAAGACGAATTTTTATTGTTTGGTCACAAGATTATACATTACTACATGTTCGTACTATTACTTCTGCATTCCAGTATAGACACTGAAACGTGCTATTAACCCTAAACATAGGCTTTACGAGTGGTACACGTTCGTTGAACTGAATGCTAGAAAAAAATTTACACGAACTGTTACACTGTTAGCACGAACAGGAAGGGAACAGAAAACCCACGCAAAAAAGGGTAGTAGGAAATGTGAGAGTTTGTACTGGTTTCCATTATTGAAGAATAAACTTTGTATTGTGAATTGTAAAATAATCAAAATCTAAACTTTTAAATTCATACATAATATAATTTGTTAGTATTCATTGATATAAAGTCAAAATTTTTGACATAATACTACATGTAGTATAAAGTACTAGTATTCTGAATTCCTTAACTATGAATAAACGAAGTTTTTCATCTTTGCAGATTTTGAGTACATACAAATTATGATTAATTTATTTAGTTTTTTAATGGTTCGAAGTCAAACCTATAGACAGAATTCTATAAAGTTATTTCTTTTTTCTGAAATAAAAATATACTAAGATTAAGACCTTAGTTAAATTTCTTTAATTCCTGTTACAAAAATAGATGGCGAGGTGCGGATGTTACTAATCGGTAAGACTGGCGTTGGCAAAAGTACCACTGGTAACACCATATTTGGATTTAATGCTTTGAAGTCTAAAGTCTCTGCAACATCAGTCACAACCAAAACAGAATTCAACGAATCTGGGAGATTCGGTAAAATACTGGTCGTCGTTGATACCCCAGGGCTATTTGATACAAATCGAATAGCAATGGAAGTTATCAGAGAAATATCGCAATGCTACTTTCTTACATCTCCTGGTATTCATGCTATAATATTAGTTGTTCAAGTTGGAAGATTTACTGAGGAAGAGCAAAAGACCGTTGATTTATTCATGAAAGTTTTTGGAGAAGAAGCGAAAAAATTCATGATTGTAGTATTTACTGGGAAAGATAGATTAGAAAATGACGATATGACTATTGAGGACTTTGTCAGCACAATGGATAACAGTTCAAGCATTAAAATTCTACTTGATGAAATACAAGGAAGATATACTGCCATTGGATACAGAGGGCAGCAGGAAGAACGGGTGAAAGAAGTAAGACATATACTGTTAATGATCGAGAAAATGGGAAAGGACAACGGTAGGTCATTCTATAGCAATGATGTATTTCAACGAGTGGAAAATATGATAAGAGAAGATGAAAAAAAAATTTAAAACTCAAGAAACAAAGAAAAAGTGTACACAGAAGAGGAAGTCCGACGTCTGATGAGTGAGGAAAGGTCCAGAACTCGAGCAAATAAACAAGATGAAGGATTGTTTTCTCAGATCCTAGGGACTATTGTTGGAACGATATTTAAAGCGATATTTAGTTTCTTCGGTTTTTGAACTCGGGATTTTTATTTATTTTATCATATTCTAGAGTTACAAGTATATCCTTTTGTATTATAATTACTATATACTTGACTTGTATCTTCTTTATGTAAAACAAAACATAATGTTATGAAGTATTTTCAGTTGTACATTAGAAAAAAGCAATTCTTACTATTTCAAAGTCAAGAACGAATAAAACTTGTAAAAAAAAAAATAATCTACATGTATTTTGTGTATTGTTTGTTTAAAAATAACATTTTATTAAAGTTCAAGGTATTGAAGTAAAAATTTAAGGATAAAAGAGGGCTTTAGGGCTTGGAAGCTCTTTCATTTACATGTATTAGAAAATTATGTATATAACATCTAAAAGATTTGACAAAATATGCTTAAAAATTGTATTATTGCTTTGTAAATTATGAGCATGATAGAAGAAATTCTCAATGAGGAGATCTTTCCTTGAAAAGAACTCGAGCCTCGAGTAATTGTGCCTTGAGATAGAAAAGCAGTTGACACCTATTGCTACTGTACCTACAAATAGACCCATGCACGATTTTGGCGTTGCTACAATACCTGGCGACAGCGGACAGTATGAATTCCAGCCTGGAGAAGAGACAATGGTATTGACAAATGCAAAGCAATGCAAAACCCTGGAAAGAAAATGAAAAGACAGCTGGTGTAACACAAAGAAGAAAAACAGAATTTATTCCATCTCTGGGCCAAATGCATCCATCTTGACAACAAAGATCATGGTGCAAGTGCACAACAGTATGAAGCAACTGCTCTAATGCCTAATGAAAAAAAAAAACGCCGAGTATTTCATGACAATGCACATCTGCATCCAGTCCTTGTGTCGAATTAGACTTTTGCACATTCACATTTTCATTTCTACTGACTGTGCAATCTCAAAAATGATTTCAAGCGAAGTATCAAATTAGGTCTCCTGCACAAACTAGACATATAGAATTACCCCCTGAGAGACAGTTGCAAAACAATTAAGAGACTTAAGTGGCCTTCATTAAATCTTTTTAAAAACTTTTTCAGAGCATTATGGACAACCACTGACACCGGTGCAATATTCATTAGCCGATGCATTGCATCAAATATCAGCGAATGCACCTACATGTGTGCAGAGTCGACTTGGAAATTCCTTAAAAAAAATGAGATAAACACAGGGGATAGTCAGCACATCCAAGGCAGAAAGGGGGTATCGTGGGTAAAGAGAAGAAAGACCAAAAAGATGTAAAGCCTGCAACTTTTAATGAGGTACTCCAATCCTCAGATTCTGAAAATTAGGCGTTGACTAATTGAAAAAGCTCACAAAAGTGTCCCTGTATTCTCAAAGTAATGTGTTTTAAAAGTTAACTAAATAATCATATGATAAAAGGAAAATTAGTAACGTCAAATAAACTTTAAGTATCTATTCTGCCTGGTGCAGGCAGATAGCTAACCAAATATACTCGCAGTAGGTAACATTGTATACACATGAAGTCAAAGTCACACGAAAACAAATTTATTCTCCTCTAATGTGTGGGTCATGTAAATACAGCACAGGTATGCCTGAGTGAGTGTGAGCAAATGTATGTATGCGTATGGTAAAACACTACAAGAAAAACAAACAAACAAAAGCTTACAAAAGCTTACAAATAATGTACAAAAAGTGGTTGAACAGAGATAGTATTTAAACACAAAAATATATTACAAATTAAGTGACCAAAATGGCGTACCATACTTAGAGAATGTTTTGACTTTTATGAAAACTTTATCAACATGAAAACTTTAAAAGATATGTTCAATTACTGTGAAAATATAGCTAAACAAGATGTGTTTGTAAAACACTGATGCCCCCGTATGGCAACATAGCAAAATTAAGCTTTTCTTAAATGCAAATTTAATTAATTGGTACCAAAAGTAGGGTATTCTCACTGGTAAACAATTGTGAAATTTGAAAGTAAGCTAATGTTAAAGTTTTTAATAAGTGCAAAAATCTCCAAGGTCAAGGTCAATGTAATTAGTATCAAATGAAAGGTCTTGCCACATAAAATACTTATGTAGAGCATGAAAGTCCTAGCCCTAACCGTTCAGAAGTTATAGTCAACGTTCGTTCAATTTCTTAAAAAGTAGGTCAAACTCCAAGGTCAAAGGGTCAAAGAACTGGGTACGGTATGCATAACGAGGCGGCCCTGTCTCTAAATCTGACTGAAGTTTTTTACAAGCATACTCACGATGTGTCCTTTCAAAATCATTTTATTATTTGGAATTATCTCTTACCGTTTTTCCGCCAGAGGTTTGGGAAAATGGTGCATTTTCTTCAATAATTACAACTTTTGACGTAGTGACGTTACGTTACGTTAAATGAAATCTGTAAATTCTCTTAACCGAAAACTATTTACTTAATATATTCCAGTAAACCATTTTGAACTATCTTTTAATTCATATATCGTTGATAGTTTCAAATAGTTTAAATATTTTCAGAAATATATAATTTTTTAACATACGATTGTACCAAACACGCTAGTCTACGAAACTTTATTCATTCAGATGAAATGATGTGAGTACTTAAAAAATTGAACGTATTGTTTATGAAGTTGGAATTTTTTTTTTTGGCAATGAAAAAGCTATCAACAGAACTCCCCCTTTCCATTCCAACAAATGACGGCGCTATAAATATGAACATATTATTTACTCCCTATTTTGGGTTTATATGATATATGCCTTTTTCAATTTTCTTTGATTTTAGATTTTTTTACCCTCGCTTGAAAAGTGGGAGGGTATATAGTGATCGGGGTGTCCGCCCGTCTGTTATGCTTTGGAGATACCTCTCTTTTATGTTTTGCCGTTAGAAACCCAAAACATGTATTGGATCAAAAAGGTAAAATAAAAGGTTACAATGGCAATATGTTATTAAGATTCTTGTTATCAAATGAAAGGTCTTGTCATAAGGATCAAATATGTAAAGTATGAAAGCTCTAGCCCTAACTCTTTAAAAGTTATGGTCAAGGTTTGCTTTTATAAAGTAGGTCAATCTCAAAGGTCAAGGTCAAAGGGTTAAAGTTCTTGGTATCCAGTGCTCGAGCTGTGATTCGCCATTGTCGCCAATTGCGAATTTTTTTCAAAAGTGGCGAAAAGAAATTCATAAGTGGCGAAAATTAATTTTTTAGATGTACCATGTACAAAATTTGTGTAGTCCTGGTTAGCTCCTTTGTTTATTCAATGTACACAGATAAGTCCCTTTGTTTACTTAATGCAGCAGAGGTGTGAAAACTGAAACCTACATACAGGAAATCACGTCTCGCTTGAACGAACAATGCTGACTAGGTAACTAGCCTGGAGCAATAAAGGGTTACAAAATTGCTTGAAATAATATAATTTGGATTAAACAAGGGGGGAGAAAGTGTTATTCGGAGATGAAGTTTGTAAATAAAAGATTTTTATCAACAAAATCTGGATCTATGTAGATCGTTTTTTTTTAAACCGAAAGTAGGGAAACATGACGAAAATTGTAAAGAATGGCTTCAAATTTTGCCTAATGTAAATTTAAAAAAGTGTACATTAATATACCATTAACTGACAAAGAGTGAAAAAGAAATTGGTTTGGAAACAGAATTATCTTTAGTTAGTAAATTACACTGAGTTATTTACAATAACATGAGCTTGCATATTAAATCCTGGAGTCTCCAAGTTGTTAAGTTTCAAACCTAATTTTCATTACTTTTTAATTTACTTCTTTTCACAATTAATTAATGAAATGATGAAAATTTCTATTTTTAAACAATGTCATATTTTTACTAGGTCTGTAGCCCCCCCCCTTCCTTCCTAGGCGAAAAAAATATAAACAAGAGGACATTTTCTGTCAAGAGTTGGCCGATATCAATACAATATCAAATTAATTGTGTAATTCCAACATTATTATTTTTTTTTCTTTTTTTTAAATGGATACTACCATAAGCTTTAAACATTACAATTTTAAAACAATATCTGTGTCAGATAAACATAATAAAAAAATTGAATAACAAAAAGTGCATTGCATTGTCGAGAAATCAGATGTAAGTATGCCTTTCCTTAAAGCTTGTGTCGCGAAAAGTGGCGAAAATATTTTCGGTCCAGTGGGAGCCCTGTTGATATCCAATAAAGGGTCTTATCACAAGGATTACATATATGAAGTACGAAAGCCCTATCCCTTACCGCTCAAATGTTATGGCCAAGGTTAAAGTTTTTTCACATGTACGGAAATCTACAAGGTCAAGGTCAAAGGGTCAAGGTTGTTGATATCTAGTGAAAGGTCTTTAAACAAACATTACATATGTGAAGTATAATGTCCTGGTGTTTACTGTTCAAAAGATATGGCAAAGTAAAATTATAAAATTTTTCTTAAAAAGTAGGTCAAACTCCAAGGTCAAGGTCAAAGGGTCAAAGTTATTGTTATCAAATGAAAGGTCTTGTCATAAGGATCAAATATTTAAAGTATGACAGCTATAGCCCTAAGTCTTTCAAAGTTATTGTTAAGTTTGCTTTTTTTAAAGTAGGTCAATCTCAAAGGTCAAGGTCAAAGGGTTAAAGTTCTTGGTATCCAATAAAGGGTCTTTTCACAAGGATTACATATATGAAGTATGAAAGCCCTATCCCTTACCGCTCAAATGTTATGGCCAAGGTTAAAGTTTTTTCACAACTACGGAAATCTACAAGGTCAAGGTCAAAGGGTCAAGGTTGTTGATATCTAGTGAAAGGTCTTCAAACAAACATTACATATGTGAAGTATAAATGTCCTGGTGTTTACTGTTCAAAAGATATGGCAAAGTAAAATTATAAATTTTTTCTTAAAAAGTAGGTCAAACTCCAAGGTCAAGGTCAAAGGGTCAAAGTTATTGTTATCAAATGAAAGGTTTTGTCATAAGGATCAAATATTTAAAGTATGACAGCTATAGCCCTA